TTATGAAATCCTATTTAATAAACTCTATTACCTGCAACAAAGGTGAGGAGAGATATAAGCGGAAAAATGAAAACATCAAATAGACAGCAAACGGAAAGGAAAAACCACCATCGTCTTGGTAATTCGTTTTCATGATTTTGACCATTATACCATCTATCCTTCAGAAAGTCTATGATGACAGGGTGATCGAAGAACTGTAAAGCAAAATACATGTCCTTGATATTATACGCAAAGTCCGTTCCCGCCCTACGATTGGTAAATTTGTGGCCCATATTAATGTACTGTACGGACTTGCAAAATTCTGAAACTAAATGGTTATTTTGCAGCTCTAAATCTTTTTACCTCGAAAAAAATTATGAGCAAAGAAAGGTTAAATATATCTGTAAATCCCGAGTACTGGGATCTGACTTCGTCCTTCCAATTTTTATCTAAATGCATTACAAAGATTCTAGTCAGTGTTTGAATCTTCAACGCAGATCACAATAAAAAGCCGACATTGCACTGTCGATCGGGGTTTCAAAACGTTTTTGCCAAAGAAAATTAACGAGCGAACCTTAACAAGCTTATTTGCTATCTGCAGGGTTTTTTCAAAGACAAATAAAGGAAAGATGGAAGAGTTTCTGAGACAGACAAATTGCCCAGCTTCCAAAATACTCAAGCGTTAAGCTTACATCAGCGAGCTAAAACTTACAGCGCTCTTAGTTTAATAGTGCTAATAGTTGAACACGACGCATTTGTTTTCACTTTCCCTTAGCCTTTGTCTTTGCTATTGTTTTCCTGTCAAATGTCTTTCAAATCGCGTGTCCCGCACTTGTTTCCGGTCTCCCAAACAGGAAGCCATGTAATAAAGATCAGTATTAGCCCTATTTTCTCGGCTAATAAAAGGTCTATATATGTTGTCAGTAAATTGCCATTTATAAGTATGACATCGCGCTGCATATTACCCTATTTTAAAGTATTACCTTTTTCTGTTCAAATTTTATTGCAGTATCCACGACAACTTTTGTTTCAGGATTACTGAAAAACACTTTTCGTTCGTCTTTATCATAATTTAGAGGATCCAGGAGACGCAAAGTGAACTCTTCCACGCGACTGGCCAGATTAATAAAGTCGTCCTTGTCAGGTTCTTTCTTGTTTGCCCGTTGATGGAGCTTTTCAGCGACCTGAAAAATATATACTAGAACTAAATACGTTATCGCAAAATCCTCGCGAAGTTTTACAGGATCAGCAGTGAGAATAAAGGGGCTGGTGAAGCTAAAGGGGAAATAATGATCAGAAAACTAAAAAGAAAAGAAAATGCACAAAGTAGTATAGGTTTTAGTTAGGTTTAAGTAGTAAGCAGGGGGAGAATATATGCTTTAAGCAAATACTTTGAAAAAAAAAAGAAATTTAATTCAGTTTCCAAAATCACCTGTCTGGTCAGCTACTTCTGAATTTTGCCAAGCTCCAAACTTGCAATGGGAGCTGTTGGGTGTTTAAATAAGCAGTGCCACTAGTACCGGATCATAGAGCTATGCTTCAAAATAAAAGTATTCATTTAAAAAGTCGAACACATCTAGTAGTAAGAGGTCTCAGCTCGGAACTATTTTCGTTTGCATTTTACTTCTAAAATTCTATAATCTTTTAAACTATTTCATACACGTAGCATTTTGAGTACTCCTGCATGCGATTTCTGTACGACCAAAAACAACCGGCAAAGCGACAACAAAGAGGTTTTGACAAACAACCAAGAGAAAAATTATGATTAAATGAAACATTCTTATTCACGAAGACATGTATTGATAGTCATGTAAAAAACCCTCCTTGAGTAGTATAGGGTGCACCACGGTTTCCACTTTTTTGAGCAGGAATCTCATTAGCGTGAGCAGGAATACATTAACGCCGATGACGTCATAACCTTTTGTCTTGATCCTGATAGATCAAGAGCTAGTTTGTCTTTGCCCTCATTAATATGCACGATTTGCCCGCCAAAAGTCAGTGAACCGGAACTGGGACAATCACAGCAGCAGGAAATAGGACTTGCATAATTACATTACGCCTTCGTGATTTTAAGTCACAGACAAGTTTGACTTTACTGCTCAGACAGTATGAATTAACCAATAAAAACGTTTCTTATTTTCTAACTAACCAATCGAAAACGAAGACGTTTATCGACCTTAAAGTAACTAGAAATCCTAAACCAACTAAAAATAGCACATGACCTTATATTAATGGCATCCCTGCCTATTTTATTCATGAGATCAAGACAAAAGGTTATGACGTCATCGGCGTTAATGTATTCCTGCTCACGCTAATGAGATTCCTACTCAAAAAAGTGGAAACCGTGGTGCACCCTATACTACTTCCTTGCATATTCAATAGTAATAATACTAACACTACTACTAATGCTAATACTTATAGTAATATTAATATTAATAATAATAAAGGTCTTTATTTAAGGTTTAAAACAAACGTTTAAACTTACAAGAGTTCTATTGTAAATGAACATAAAACCTGTCTAAGACTAGAACTGAATACTGAATTATTAAATTCTATTGAAATCAAAGAAGAGGCATCTGAACAAAGCATTTCTTACAGGCCCATTGCCAACCTTGCCCGACACGAATACAAATAGATATGCAATAGATGTGAAAAGCTTTTCCAAACATTTGGTATCCGTTCAAACGACTCGATCTGTCCGTTTGAAAAAAAATTGTCATCCGTTCAAACGGCTCGGGTTATCTGCTCGAAGAAAATAGTCATTCATTTAAACGGCTCAACTATCCGTTCAAAAAAGCTGTAAGCCGCGCTACCGTTCCAAACCACTTCCACCCGAGCCTTTTTCCACGAACCTGACGTGTGAAAAAATGTAAGCTTGAATAATTCTTCTAAGTGTTGTTTACCCGCGCCTCATAAATTTTTACGGTGCATTTTCTGCTGAGTAGCCTTCTCTGCTTTCATAAAGTTAAATTCTCGTTACAAGTTTTATTCAAGACGTTTGTAATATTCAACAAAGTAAAAAAAATATTTATATAGACCCCGAACAAGTTATGTTTTGAGCATTCCGTATGCAAATAGAAAACGTGGGAATACTCTCTCACTGTCGATATACTTTGCTTATTCAAAATACCATCATTCTCTTTCACCATTTCCGCAAAAACAACAAAAAGCTATCGCCACGGCACAGAGCTGAAAAATAAAAACAGTCCCTTGCATCTTCACGGCGGCTTACATTTGTGAACTTGAATGAACCTCTATATGTTTTGTCACATTACCTCACCATCTCACGGAGCAGTGCACGATTCTTTCAGATAAATCTGAAATGTCAAAGGACTCACCCACTTCCATGAGAAATAATACTTATTTACTGACTTTACAGGCGAATTGTACAACCATTTCTCAGATGAGGAGAAAGCCAGGCAAAAGTGTTGACCGATCAGAGCACGCCATTTATTTCAAATTAAGGTTGGCAATGGGCCTTTAAACATTTCAGTAGCATATAGATTTAGCCAGGGCTAAAAGCGAAGCTCCCATCAATAAATTTATAATTTAAATCAAATAATAAACTTGTAATCCACAAATCAGTTAACTTTAGGGCACATTCATGTGACTTTTGAGGGAAAGGCTAAGTTATTTTAGAGTGAAACATCTTACATCGAGTTGATAGCCTTATATGTACACCCAAACATCTTCGATCACACTTAAGAGCAATAATGGCTCTTCATCACAAATAATAAGGGATAAAGTTAACTGCAAAAACCGTGGACGAAGATCCTTCTAGTTGTAAACGTTGGATCTCTAGAAAACAGATCTTATCAGCCAAAATATAAAGAACCAAGAACGAGAAGTCCAAAAACTACTGCAAAGCGTATTCAGAACAACGTGTATTGCTTTTTAAACATAACAATATTTCGGCTGGCCATTGCAGCCTTCTTCAGGTTTACACTAGATGTTACTGAACTTATGTAGGAATCCCAATATTATATACAGCTGTATGTAGGAGGCGTCCATGAGCTTTTGTTATGAAATGGGTTGTGTTCGTTAGGTTGAGTGCTGTTATTGTAATCATGAAAATATTCTTTTACACGCACGTGTCTCGTGAAGTCGTTAATATCAGCAGACAATTCTGCCAAATTAATACGTTTAGGAGTGGGGCAAAAGGTTAAACCGCGAACGAGGACCAATAATTCGTCAATAATTCTTCACGCGACGCATACGTTTAAAAGAATATTTTCATGATTACAATAACACCACTCAACCCTTAAACGAACATAACCCATTTCAGTTAATCCGCGTAATCACATCACCGACAACTTGACCAAAGATGAACGACAAGCATTACGCAACCTCACGAAGCGACAAGACATAATAATCAAACCAGCTGATCATGACAAAGGTTCGGGAACGGTTGTTATGGACAAATCCTGGCCTGGTTGACTGGTACATAGACGAATGCAACCGACAGTTAAATGACGCTAAATTCTGCAGACAACTAGACGGGGACATCACTGACGCTATTCAACAGCGTGTTACGGTTTACATTGAATACATATCCAACGACGGTTACATTGACGAAAAGACTAAAAAGTACCCAGTACAAACAAACGTGAGACTAGGACGTTTTCCAATACTACCTAAATACATAAAACGGGAAATCCTGGACGTCCCATAGTTTCATCTAACAGCCACCCTACTGAACGCATCTGACAATTTGTTGACTGCCACATTAACCCTCTCGTCTCTACCTTGGATTCACACATTAAAGACACTACGGACTTCCTTAGTAAACTTTCCAACCTCGGTAACCTACCTAACAACGCTATTCTTGTAACTCTTGATGTGTCATCGCTTTACACCAACATTCCACACAATCAAGGAACTGATGCATGCCGTCATTTTCTTGATACCCGCCCTAACAAACGCATCCCCACAGATACACTATGTGATCTCTTACGCATGATTCTCACCATGAATAATTTCACATTCAACCAACAGCATATCTTCAAATCCATGGTACTGCTATGGGTACTAAAATGGCTCCTTCTTTTGCTAACCTTTTTCTTGGAATGTTCGAAAACAACACTCTCACTAACGCCCCCTGGCAGCCTCACACATGGTGGAGATATATCGATGATATTTTCATGATCTGGACAGAAGGTTCGGATTGTTTGAAAATATTCGTCGATTATCTCAAATAACAAAAAATAATGTGATAATAAATTCGTTATTATGTTGAAGCGTAACTCTATTACAGTTCATTCAAACGTTAGACCACACCGACAGCTCGCTCTAGAAATTTATTTATAACAACTTTATTTGTAATGATCAATACAAAAAGGCTGCCATCAGGGAGGAAATGAAAACCGGCTGGCCGTATGGGTGATTTTGGAAATTTTTCTCGACATCATGGTGTCTCTACATAACGGTATAATTGAAACTGATCTATTTACTAAACCCACGGATAAACATCAACACCTTTTCAGCTCATCATGCCATCCACACCACACTAAGAAAGCCATTCCCTTCAGCTTAGCCCTTCGCCTCCGCCGCATCTGCTCTACAGACGCTAAGTTTAAAAATCGCATTAGTGAACTTAAAACATATCTCCTTGCTCGTGGTTATAATAATAATTTCCCAGAAGAACAGTTTCTACGCGCTGCTAATATTTCTCGTACTAACGCGTTACAGATTAAACCTAAAGCTTCTAACGATGTTGTACCATTTGTGGTCACATATAACCCAGCACTTCCACGCATTTCTAATATCCTACGAAAAAATTTTAACATCTTACACTCCTCTAACCGTTGCAAAGGCGTCTTTAAGCAACCGTCTTTTGTTGCTTACAGACGTAGCTCTAATCTTCCTGACCCTTTAGACTAGGAGTAATCGGAGCTTAAGAGGGTGCGTTCGATATGTTTGTTGTAGCCTGCGTAGCAGGCGTCGAAAGGGGTAGGGGATAGGGGATAGGGAGGAACGGAAAAAGGGGAGGGGGATTGGGGAGAGGGGGAGGGGACGCCTGCTCTAAGAACCCCCTTTTGTTCATATCTGCGGACGCTGGCGTCCGCAAATTCCTGATTGGCTGAGCGGTAATAAGTAACATATTGAAATGCGCGTTTCACATTTCAACAAACAGTCGAGATGGCAGCCGTAGACGTGGATGTCGTAGAGAGTGCGTTGAGGGATGTGAATTTATCTAGTGGTAGAGAAATTGTTTTAAAACCAGAACAAGAATCAGCAGTAAGGGCTCCTAAGGGCTCTTTTAGCCGACAGAGATGTCCTGGCGGTTTTGCCGACCCGGATACGGCAAGAGTTTAATTTACCAAATGTTTGTACGCGCGAAGAACTACGAGCTAAATGGTTATTCGGCGATTCTCGTCATTTCGCCACTGAAAAGTATTATCGAAGACCAGTTGCAGGAGATGGAATTGTTGGGCTACCCAGCGAAAGATTAGGCCAATTTATCGAACGATGACATTCGCCGATGTAACTTCAAAATTGTGTTTGCAACCGCCGAAAAAGTCAAAGAGAAGCCCTTCCGAGCAATGTTGATGCACTCCAAATCGAAGTTACATCGAAACATCTCGGCTATTGTGGTGGACGAATCGCACACGGTCGAGACATGGACAGGAAAAATGCAGAAAGCTCTAACTTGTTTTTGTTGCTTCTAAGGAGTATTTGTGTAGCTACAAGGGATTTAGATTTTTATAAGCTTACTATTGAAATTCACTGGAAATTTTACACAACTGTAATGATTTCTAGTTCGCACCCTAGCATGAATCGAGCTTTGAGATTGAATGGATGCGATTAAAAGGGGGTGGTAGGCCTACACGACTTTTACCTCATGCAAAAATGCTGCTTATTCCAATAAAGTTGTTTTTATCTGCTGGGTAGATTATGCTCTGGAAGGTTCTGCATTTATACTGAGTAAATGTGATTTTAGCCGCATGTTTCACACTGAGAGGTCATGACATACATATCGATTGACTGTAGTTATTGTTTACTGGTCGGCAGGATTTGCCCTCTGATGCAAGCGCATTTTCTTTGACCTCTTTTGAAGCGTAAAGCTTTTTTATTACGGCTGAATAAGGGTTCCAATTTTCTCCAAAGTGCCTTCTGGATCTGACTAATTAAGGGATTTTCTTTAGTCCGTGAGTGTAATGTTTTTCTGCAATGCTGTATCACGCTGGGCCCAGCTCGTCAGTTTTCTTTGCAGAATGTTAAATTACAAACACGCTCTGATACGCTTGGACTTTTAATCAATGGGAATCCCATTGATGAACAGCAATCCGCCAACACTGTACCTGGGGCCCCTTTCTCGAAAGTCCCGATAATTAACGGGCCCGGTAAGCTGTCTCCGTTTACATTAAAGATCGAGGTTTCAATAGTTTTGCATCTAACATGATAAAACTGTTTCAGTTAATGAAACAAAATGGAGTAGTTTGCTAGCCAGGACCCGCGCTCTTATTCTTTATATTTCGATTTGAATATTTGATTTCGGGCCCGTAAAGTTACTGGGATTTTCGAGAAACGGGCCCCAGGACTCTCTTTCCTCGCAGTTTTCGAAAACAAATTTTCGAAAGACGCTCTTGTGCCCGAATTCTCAAAAGAGCACGAACAAAATCTACAACGATCGTTACATCCACCATCCTTTTTTTTTGTCCTCGTTTTGAATTTTTTGTGGGAGTCGCGGATATTTCCACGTTAAATTTCTGGTTGTCCAGAAGTGAGAATTTCTCGCTTCGATAAATATTTATGCAACGTGAGTTTCCGGCAAATCAAATAAATTTCCGCGTAACCACAGGATTCCGTCTTGCGTTCTGATTGGCGAGTGTAGTGACACTTGATTGACAGTAAGCGTAATTGGATTACTAGAAAATTGGTGGGCGTTATGCAAAAACATAGGCTCTTAGAGCAGGCGCTCCCTTCCCTTTTCCCTTTCTCCCTCCACCCTCCCCCTCCCCTTTTTGCGCCTGCCACGCAGGCTATGTTTGTTGAGGCGGAAGGGTGGTTGCGATGTAGATAAATATGATTATGGCATATTTCGAACGTAAGGGTTGCTTACAGCGAAACCTCTATTTAAACTGTGTATCATTTTAAGAACGTTTTCAAAAGATATTGGATGGTTCGGTGTCAAGTGCTTTTAATCGGAGGAGACATTGGCCAGCGTCGGACGTGTAAATGGAACATTTTGTTTTACTGGCGCGAGTTACAGGGCGCGGTTTCTCAAAGGCCGATTAGTTTTTAACCCGGGATTCTTTTTCTTTCTTCAAAAACATTTCTTCGGATAATTTTCTCTGTTATTTTTAACAGCATCCAATCATCAACTTGCTGACAAAATGAATTACATTGAATTTACTGGTTTAAAAGCTTTCACATCTGAATTCAAACTTCGCACTAACCCTACCAAAGCCTTCAATGGAACGTGTGTGCGGCTCACGTCAATAACTTTTCTAGTAATTTGGTCGAGCGTGTTGATTTCAGCGACTCGAGAGTGGCGCTACTGTGGGCTGATTTATAAGTTTTTCCTAATAAATAACACAGAGTTAAAGTGTTCTTTTGTCCGGTGCCGAAAATATCACAAGTCATGGTCAAATGGTGCCGCCGAGCTTCACATCTCGGTAGATTTACTTTGTGGCACAACGGCTGCCAAAATGTGTGTCGACGACGAACGAAAATGTAATCTCGAAAAAACCTCCCTTTTTAATTGCACAGGTCACCCAATAATGCACAGAACACCCAACACAAAATAGGGGTTGCGTTCTCGTACCTCGAACGCAATAATAAAGCACAATTACCCGTCCAAAATCATTTTCACAAAATTGTGCCACTTGTCCATACATTACTAACGGCCTCACAAGTTATGCCTTTTACGCTACAGGTGAAACACGCTCCATCACTTCACACATCACTTGTAACACTAAAAACGTGATCTACATGGTTCAATGTGACCGTTGTAATTTACAATATATAGCTGAAACTAAGCGACGTCTCAAGGACAGATTTAACGAACACAGACGTGCAGTCGACAAAACCGGTTAACATTAAATCTAAACCCACTACTGTTTCTGAACACTTTCTCCCTCACTCTAACCATTCTCATACTGACATGCACTTAATCCCACTAGAGAAAATTCATTCTTCACGTGACTCAGTTCGTAAAGCCAGGGAGTCGCATTTGATAAATAAGGCCATGAGTCTTGAACCTCATGGTCTAAACCACCGTGAAGAATTATTGTAATCCATATCCTTAGTATTTTTCCTTTCCAGTTTTTGTGTTGTACGTCATTTCCGACTCTCCCTTTTAAATAATTTTTATTGCGACATTCTCCATCTATAGATCGTTTTCACTGTCACGCAACAAAAAATTAAATTGGAAACCGTCCAGTGGAAGAAGCCAAGAAAATGAGATGTTTTGAAAGACTAATATATAGATTTAACCAGCAGGGCTAAAAGCGAAGCTCCTATTAACGCGAATTTATAGTTTAAATTAAATAATAAACTTGCAATTGTATTCCGCAAATCAGTTAACTTTAGAGCATATTCATGTGACTTTTGAGGGAAAGGCTAATTTAGAGAAAAATAATTTACAAACAGTCCAAGCTAAGAGTGAACTTAATCTTACATCGAGTTGATAGCCTTCCGAATTTTTTTTCGTTCGACAAGTTTATAATTAACTTTATGATTACAAAATCTTGCCCACAAGTTTGGGGAAGTGTAAACCAACCTTTGCTACTTTTTATACATCACATCTGAGGTGAAACAATACCATGAGGCGCTGTTTTTATCATACAGACCTCGGACAGAATGCAGTATTTCACAATTTTGCAATACAAATTGCACTCATTCAATATTCAGGACGATCGAAACACGCGTGGGCTTTTACCGAAACCGTTAAAAAAATTTCCAAAATCACCTATACGGTTAGCCGGTTATCACTTTTCACAAGCGCCAAGGTCTGCTGTTTGAATCAAGATTAATAGAGTTATACGCTTCAACATAATCAAGAATTTATTATGTTTATTTTTTATTTAATGGTTTTATAATGATGTGTAATCTTCAAAAGCGTTTGATACGCGCGGCATTTTGACTACTCCTGCAGGGGATGTTCATGAGCGACTGAAAACAAACGGCACAGCGATTAAAATTGCAAAAGAGACTACTAACAATCAATGAAAGGGAAATAATTCGGTGAAACATACAGAGACAACAATTTTCATTCACGAAGACAAGTATTAAAGTGTCTCTGTAAATCCTTGTTTATGTTTTAAGCCGGCTTCCCGCGTCGTTTGCTTTTTTCAAAGATGAACTCGAGGCACGAAAATTGCTCAAAGCTTTCTTTTACAGCCAGAATTATAACTAAATATTCTTTGGAACGTTTTCTTTCAATTTGCAGTGAGAAAAAGTCTAAAGGCTTTCTAAAGTTCTATAAGCTTATAATGAAACCTGATACTCGGTCCATTGTCTCAAATCTTACAAACATGCATAAACTAAATAGCCCCATAAACTAGTTAACCACGTCCGACTTCATTAAATTAGATATATATATATATATATATATATATATATATATATATATATATATATATATATATATATATATATAAAAAAAAAAAA